AATAAAATAAAATAAAATAAAATAAAATAAAATAAAATAAAATAAAAATGTGTGCCTATGGGAATGACTGGGATGAGCAAAAATGATAGTATTAACAGCCTAAAATTGGGAAGTAGATGAAATTAGGTAAGACCAGCTTTATAACAAACTTTGTAGTTAGACCTTGATTTGAGTGCTGCCTCTGCCACTTACTAGCTCTGTGTCCTTGGGCAAGTTATTTAATCTGAGTCTGTTTCCCTCCCCATCTTTAAATAGGAAAATATACCTCACAGAATTGTTGTGATATTTGTATGACAAAATAGGAAAATGCCTAGAAACAGAGATGATCAATAAATATTCACACCCATCCTTATATAGTGAAAGCTGAGAAGTAGTATAGGATTCATCATGCCTTTTTCCTAAAAATTTGTCCTGGAATTTTCACCATTCTTTAAAGGCAGGGATTATAACGCAGATGACAAAGGGTACTGAAATTACAGAAATGTGAGAAATCAGCCAGAATGATGTGAGAGAGAGAGGTGGTGCTGCAGCAGATACCAGTAGACCCAACTACAGGCAAACACACATTTTAAGAATGTGAAAGGCGTTCCTGCCAGGGAGATGTGTTAAAATACAGCATTACATGAGAGGGTCTAAAAGCCCTGAAGGTTTTCTCTGGCTTTGGCCATCAGAACATCATTATGGTGTTTGTTTGTTTGTTTTTAACTGTGGTAAAAATATACATAACATACAGTTTACCGTTTTAATCATCTTAAAGTGTACAATTCGGTGGCACTCAGTACAATCACAATGTTGTGCAACCCTCACTAACTTGAAAACACTTTTATTACCCTCAAAGAAAACCCTGTACCCATTAAGCAATCATGCCCCATTCCCCTCCACTCCTCAGCCCCTGGGAACCACAAATCTATTCTCTGTGTCTGTGAATTTGCCTATTCTGATTATTTCAAGTAAATGGAATCATATACGCCTTTTGTGTCTGGCTACTTTTACTAAGCATGTTTTCAAGGTTTATCCATATTATAGCATTCATCAGTAGAATTCATTTTTTATGAGTGAATAATATTTCATTATATGAGTATCCTACACTTTGTTTATCCATTCATTAGTTGATGGATATTTGTGCGGTTTCTACCCTTTGGCTATTGAATATTGCTGCTATGAATATCTTGGACAAGTCTTTGTCTGAACAATTACTTTCAATTCTTTTGGATACATATCTAGGAGTAGAACTGCTGGGTTATATGTAGAATTGCTGGGTCATATGATAATTCTAAGTTTAAGAGTTTACTGAGGAACTGCCACACTATTGTTCACTGGCTGTGACATTTTATATTCCCACCAGCACTCAAATGAGAGTTCCAAGTACTCTACATCCTCACCAACACTTTCTATTTTCCGTTTTCTTTTCTTTTCTTTTTAATTTTTAAAGCTTACTTATTTTAGAGAGACAGGCAGAGAGGGACAGAGAGAGAGGAAGAGGGAAAGAATCCCAAGCAGGCTCTGCACTGTCAGCACAGAGCCCAACGTGCAGTTTGAACTCTTGAACTGTGAAATCATGACCTGAGCTGAAATCAAGAGTTGGATGCTTAACCGACTGAGCCACCCAGGGGCCTCTATTTTCTGTTTTCATAAGTATATGCATTTCTTTATCAGAGAGCCTCATACTGAGTGATAAGATATAACACAGTTAATAGGAAAGAAGGGAGTGAAGAAGAGAACCTCAAAAGCTGTACACATCCAGTGAATAACACAGACTGGGCAGTATATGAAGGGCCATTCCCAAAATGGGAGGAGATAGCTGACAGCTAAAGATTATCAAGACTTCACGATTTGCCTAGAGTTGACTCAGAACATGTGAATTAATTTAGATCTCCAACACCAGAGCACTATTTATTCGGCCTTTTGATTCAGTCAGTATACATTCCAATAATACCTGCCATATGGTCACAGGTCAATAAAAATTTGTTGAATGGATGAAAGAATGAGTCAGCAGTTGAATACAATCTAAGAATAATAATGGAATTATACAGGTGGTTTACTGAACCATGATGTCAGATTACATTGGTTCTCAACCACCATTAACAGAACTGCCAGAATTATCTTCTTAGCAGTGTTTCACAAGTATCCACAAACAACAGAGCCAGGTTCTAGTCTATTATTCAAAAATAGGAATCAACAACAAAAATATACAAAACTATTTTTACACAATCTTTGTAAGAAAATTATCATAGACAATATTTGATTAAGTAAATTATCCAACCAAAAGACCACAAAAGCTATGTTTTAAAAAATATTTTATATAAAGCATCAACACGAATCCATAATTAGAAATTTTCAATATATACAAACCAAAAATTTCCTTTGTATTTTTTAACCTGGCTCCACGAAGCAAGAGACTCTCTGGCCCCAGAGGCCTAAGGGGGATTAAAAAAAAAAAAAAAGTTGAATTTATTAAAAATTCAATTATATTCTAAAATGGCCATCTTTAGCAGAAAATACCTGAACATAGTTATAACTCTGCTTTCATATAAAACCAAAATCTCAGTTACTATAAAGCAGTTTAGGTCAATTATGATGTTAGTGACCATAACAACAAATACCTGCTTTAGCATTTCAGTCACTTTAAGATCAGTGGCTCAGAAATAAGATTACCCCTGTAAATAAACTCACAAAGCCATCAGTTTCAAGATTTTTAAACATAAAACACAGCAAAAGATTAACCAATGATTAAAAATGTTTAACATGATGAAATTTTAAATTTATGAACAAAATTAAAGGTTCTAAAAGGCAATATAAACATGAATTGTAGTATGATTTGTGTATAAATGCATCAATTCTGCATAATTAAAATTATACTGGATTATAAAACAAAGTAGTAAGTGAGTTAGTACTTTTTCTAGGCAAGATCAACTATAACTTGACTACTTGCATTGCATACTTCTTGGAGCACAGGTCTTCTTGCTGTTTGAATTTCTCTCCATAAAGGAGAAATAAAACGAGAAGGAATAACTAGAAAGGAAATTGTATTTTCTTAGTGATAGAAAAATGATAAGACTGTTATGGATAAGTGAAAAAGCCTTAATTTTGTTGATATTCCTTATGTTTTTCTGAAACATACATATCCAGTTACCCAAATCAAACAGAATCTGAACCAATTCTGAAGATGTCTGCAAATCCAAACACTCTAAAAAATCTAATGAACCAAAGAGGCTCACATTTTGGGACATGGTTAACAAGTATGATTTTATTAGATAGTCATATTTGGAGCACACTCCATGGATATTCCAAAATCAATTATTAAGGAGGCATAAAATAGCTTTTTCCCACTTGGTACTGGTTCCAACAATGAACAGAAAAACTTTGAGCTCACACTGGCATATAAAATTGGAATATAATGATAAAAAGCTTCAAATTAAAAGATAATTCCATCAGCTCACTCAGGCTGCTTCAGCAAAGAACATGGCTAATCTTTTTAACCATTTTAAGGGCTGGGTAATATAACTGATCTTTTGCTTTACCAGCCACATTTTCTTAATGCAATTCAGATATGTATCCACATATATATCCCACTATGTCACTCTAGAAATCAAAATAAAAGCTAGCTATAGTTATCCAGCAGGGGATCCTACATTTACAAAGACCTTGTTAAGGAGTTTACTGAATGTGCTACTATGTTAATGTTTATTAAAAATGTGAACTGGTGCCGAGGCATCATGATATTTTTTGGTGGCTTGAGGATTTCATTTAAAAAATGCTTACCTTTTCATGTCAGCAACTTATTTCATGCAGCCAGTATTAACTGAACATGTCTTTAGAAAAGAGGTACAATGCTAATTGGATTAGAAGTTCAAGGGCTGATTCCAAGATTTATTCTAAATTTGGCTTTGTGGTCATGAGTAACAATGTAATCTCAATGTATCAGCACATTTCTGAAATAACTTAAAAGCCTTTCATGTAGGGCCAGAAATTAACCTGAATATTGAGGGCAAACACACCAACACAACCAACTAAAAAAAATACCAATCAAAAGAGTAAATAAGAGGATTTATATTGGCCACTAAATACTGTAGTTCTTGCTGAATAATTCTGAAGTGAAGAAGACAATAATATTTATACTTGTCAAACATTATACAAAACATTTTTTGTACTCTAGACTTCCAGTGTGGTGGGTTTTAAAGGTGTCAAAATTTGAATAAGAACGGCTATTTCCTTTTATGTTACTACCTAACACTGTAAGAAAAAGAAATACAAGTACACAAATAATCTTGCTAAACTATTTTTATAGCATTTCATGGGATTTGTTTTATCCTTACTTCTTCTGCTACAAATTATTAGATGAAATGCTAAATGTTTTTATTTATTTTTATTTTTAATTAAAAAAATTTATTTAAGTAATCTCTACACCTAATGTGAGGTTTGAATTCATGAAGCTGAGAACACGAGTTGCGTGCTGTTTGAACTGAGCCAGTCAGGCTTCTAAATTAATCCTTTTCCATGATATGCTGCCCAATTACCTATTCTCCTTTTAATTTGATTTTAGTCCCTCCCAACACACTGTCACATAAAAGTAACTGGATAATGCAAATGTATTCTTACCTTACAATTTCTTCCATTTGCTGAGTTATTATCATTCTTCCCATGAATCTATCAAAGAATTAAAACATGTTACAAAAAAGCCAATGATATATTACCTATGACACCAATGGGTGAAGCGTTTTTGACAGTTTTGGCACTATTCTTACACATAAAACAAAACTAACCTTTTGTATATAGGAATGGTCCATTATTTCTGTTAGAGATTACATAAGTAAATACTTATCAGTCATTAAGCTTTAAAAAACTGAATATCTTGCCATCTCTACTCCAGCTATGAATAAGGTAAATGAAAAACTGTTTTCAAAATGATAATGCAGATTTCACATATTACTAGTTTAGTCATCATGAGAATTTATAATTTCTATACAAAGATGAATGTATTATCTAGCCCACAATAAATGCTCACATATTTTGTCACAGTTTATTAAATAAAGTCTACTGTGACTAGAATCATTCATTCACTCACTCACTGACTCATGCATCACTGAATAGTCACTGAACAATGACACTGTGTGAGTTAAGTGGTGGGGACAGAGTAGTAAGCAAAAACCTATCCGTGAACTCCAGACCTTCTTTAACTTTTGGTTGCCTGAAATCTAGAGTGAGTGGCCTGGTCTGTTATCATAATGGATTTTCACAGCTTGGCTTTTCAGTTCCAACTTCCACAACCAGAAAAGCTCCACAGCATAGTCAATTCAAGGATGCAATCACTTTCTACTATAGTGAGGCAAATTCTAAGTTGAACAAACTGTAGACAGAGCTTTCATGTTAATCGTTTAAACAAAGAAATTGGCAGTCCTTTCTAAATGTCCCTATTATTACTGCCTCCACCCTCCACCCCCCACCCCCCACCCGTTTCCAAGTCACAGATGCTTGCAGACTTTGGCTTTATTGTTTCTTGCTAATCTCCTACTTCTATCTACTTCCTTCAGCACCCTGTATCAGGGAGTTTTTGTTTTTTTTTTTTTAATCTCCACTTACTGGAATTTTATGTAGTCCTGATTTCAGCCTTAATTTTGGATTTAGATTCAAAGAACCAATTCAGCTGCCATTTCCCTGGGCATCTTTCAGAGATGACGTGTAATCAGCTCAATTTTGCTGCGTTAAATTCCAACAACAGACCTATTTTCCTTAATTTCATTTGTCCTGTTATCCTTGATTCTAAGGTACTCCTATCTATTTATGCCAGTTACATACTGGATTAACTCATTTTGCACTTTCCTTAGCCATTTCTCCAAACCCACACTTAAATTTGATTCAACATAGAAATAGCTGCATTACTCTCTTTTCTGATTATAAAGACTACATACATTGAAACACACACATTTTATAAAATGATTCAGACAACTGAAAAAGACATCAATAGGGAAACAACAATGACTGGTAATCCCACTACTCAAATATAAACACTGTTAATGTTTTGGAGTATGTTTTCCACTTTTTTTTCATCCTTATATAGACACATATATATTTTAAAAACAAAATGGCATCATGCCATAAGTACTGCTGGTAACATTTCCTGCCACTTAATACGTCCTGTCAAAAACACAGATCTACATTATGATTTTCATTTCTTCCAATTTTGTATTTAAATTGTAGTTAGTTAACATATAATGTAATATTGGTTTCAGGAGTAGAATTTAGTGATTCATCACTTACACACAATACCCAGTGCTCATCATAACAAGTACCCTCCTTAACAGCCATCACCCATTTAGCTCATCTTCCATCCATCAACTCTCAGTTTGTTCTCTATCATTAAGAGTCTCTTATGGTTTGCTTCCCTTTCTTTTTTTTGCCCTTCTCATATGTTCACCTGTTTTGTTTCTGAAATCCCACATATGAGTGAAATCATATGGTATTTGTCTTTCTCTGACTGACTTATTTTGCTTACAATAATACACTCTAGTTCCATTCATGTCATTGCAAATGGCAAGATTTCAATCTTTCTGATAGCTGAGTAATATTCCCGTGTGTGTGTGTGTATACACACTACATCTTATTTATTCATTGATCTATCAACAGATACTTGGGTTGCTTCCATGTCTTGGCCACTGTAAATAATGCTGCCATAAACATAGGGGTGCATACATTTTTCCAAATTAGTGTTTTCATTTTCTTTAAATACCCAGGAGTGGAATTACTGGATCATACAGTATTTATATTTTTAACTTTCTGAGGAATTTCTATACTGTCTTTCCACAGTGGTTGTACCAATATATATTCCTACCAACAGTACATGAGGGGGTTCTCTTCTCTTTATATCCTTCCCAACATTTGTTACTTCTTGCCTTTTTGATACTAGCCATTCTGCTTGGTGTAAGGTGATACCTCATTATGGTTTTGGTTTGCATTTCCCTAATGATCAGTGATGCTGAACATTTTTTTCATGTGCCTGTTGACCATCTATAGGTCTTCTCTGGAAAAAGGTCTATTCAGGTCCTCTGCCCATTTTTTAAGTTCTTTATATATTTGGATATATTGTGCATATATATACACAACTGCTTACTGTATATATTATTTGCAAATATCTTCTCCCATTCATTAGATTGCCTTTTTGTTTTGTTGATGGCTTCCTTTGTTGTGCAAAAGCTCTTTATTTTGGTGTAGTCCCAATAGTTTATCCTTGCCTTTTTATTTCCCTTGCCTGAGGAGACATATCCATAAATATGTTGATAGAGAGGATGTCCAAGAGATTACTGCTTAAATATTCTTTTAGGAGTTTTATGGCTTCAAGTCTCACAGTTAGGTCTTTAATCCATTTTGAGTTTATTTTTGTGTATGGTATAACAGTGGTCCAGTCATAAATGTCTACTTTGCTCATGACAATAAAAATTAGTCCAATGCTTTTGTAATGTCTGAAAGGCCAAATCCTATTAGGGCTTTAATCCAATAATTCTACTTTTGCAGCTCTGTCTTTTCTTAGGGAATAATCCAGTACTATGCCATACCTGTACAAGTCTGCTTCTGGTTGCTGACATTCTATCACAGCTACAAGAGTGTCCAAGCTGGCAACTGTTTGTAATACTGCTGTTTCTGGAACTGCCACGTGTGTCTGGGAAAATAAAAAAACCAAAAAGGATTACATTGCAGTTTCAGGATCCAAATGGGAACTTAGATACCATCTATGTCAAATCTCTTTTCAGATGAAATTGTAGCATACTGTACTTGAGATCACTTAGGAGAAAGAAGATTGTAAAATAGTAAGTAGCAAAAGGAGCTACTGAGGTTACCTATCTAGAGAAGCCATTTGGATATAAAAAAATTAAGTGTGGGGGTGCCTGGGTGGCTCAGCTGGTTAAGCATACAACTGCAGCTTGGGCCATGAATCTCATGGTTCATGGGTTTGAGCCCTGCGTTGGGATCTCTACTGTCGGCACAGACAGAGCCTGCTTTGGATCCTCTGTCCCCCTCCTTCTCTGCCCCTCCCCTACTCACGCTCTCTTTCTCTTAAAAATGAATAAACATTTTAAAAAAATTAAAAAAAAATTAAATGTGTTAAGTCACTATCGCTCAAAGTTTATTATGAAGCAATTTAATAGGGAAAAATGTGCATTTTCACTTTTATACTCTGAAAACAGAAAAATTGAAATGTGTCCCTTATCTAATTTTAGTATATGTGCTGCCGAAGTGAGCACATCCCTTATCTAAAAAAGTACCAGAATATTAAAGGATTACATTTTTCCTAAAAACACTTTCCACTTTTCTTTAACTTGCCTAAAACCAAATGAGGCTACCCTTGAAATAAATACATACTATTATTTCTTTTTTAAAAAGTTACCATTTTTAAAGTCTCAGTGATTTAAAAAATTTTTCTCTTAGCAGGTTAAACAAAGGAAAATATCACTATAACCCAAAAACATTCTGTTCACCCAGGGCAACACTCAAACATATGCATGTACAAACCTTGAGGTTAGTTTCTCCATCCAAACTAGCAGTTGTAACGTGACAAGAACCATCAAGCCGATCTGAGGACAGAAGCACCAAATCTGCAGGGAAAATTTCATCTTTGGCTATTCGAACAATATCACCCACCTATAAGGAATTATGGGGGAAAAGTGAATATATAGATTTTAAAAGGCAAAGACTTATTTTTACTGATTTCTAAACAGATGGCCTATCAATATTTTAATACAGGAAAGCAAGCTTTTAACTAAAATAGAATGTGTGATACCAATATATATAATTGATTTCTATTATTTACTAAAGGCATACCCGAATGTTTTTTGATCTAGTTTTTACAAGGCCACCACTTCGAACAACATAAACAGGAGCTCCATTTACTTCATTATCTGAGTTATGTCGTAACCAATCTTCATATCCCTATTAAATATTAAAGAACAAAAAAATACCCTTTTTAATATAATTAGAAGATACTTTTATCAAATGAGAAAACAAAACATAAAAACTACATAAAAACTTATCCAAAACATTTTATTCACCAGAATTATATTAGGCTAATCTGATGCATATACTCATAGGTATTTGACATTCATTCTTACTAGAAACATTCTTTTTCCTTGGTGTCATTACACATATTCCTGGTTTTCATAGTACCTCTCTAGTTACTCCTCAATTTCCTTACAGGAGGCTCCTTCTATGTCACCTTTATGGATCCCTTTTTCACCCTTCTCTTTCTACTACAAGATTTCTTCTATCTCTGTGTCTTCCAAAAAATCCTGAAATTTGTCTCTCTAGCCTATATCTCTTTTCTGGACTCTAAACTTGAATATCTGCATTCTTAGTATCTCCATTTTGATGTCATAACAAGCATTTCGAAACTAAATTGATGATGTTATCCCCCAAATCTGTTGCATTTCCAATGTTTCCAATCTTGATAAATGGCATCACCATCTACCAAGTTGCTCTTAGAAGAAATCTGAGGAGTAATTCTTGATTCTTACCTTTTCCTAACACCTATTCAGTTTAGAGGTTCCATGGCTTCTATGTAAAAATGATATTTTTAAATTTATTTATTTATTTATTTATTTGGGGAAAGAAAGTGTGGGTGTAAGCGGGGAAAGGGCAGGGAGAGAGAGCAAGAGAGAGAATCCCAGGCAGGTTCTGCGATGTCAGCATGGAGCCCAACATGGGGCTCAAACCCATAAACCATGAGATAATGACCTGAGCAGAAATCAAGAGTCACTTAACTGACTGAGCCACCCAGGCACCCCTAAAAATGATATTTTTAAATCATAAAATATAAATTCACAGGGCATTATTATATACAACAGCAAAAAAAAAAAAAAAAGAATAGATTTTGAAACTGAGGTTGAGTTCTTTCACCTTCCTAACCAACAAGCCAACAGAATTATAATATGTATTTCAAAAAAAATATGGTAGGCTAGGGGTACCTGGGTGGCTCAGTTGGTAGAGCATCCAACTCTTGATTTTTACTCTGGTTGTGATCTCACTGTTGTGAGATTGAGCCCTGTGGGCTTTGTGCTGGGTTTGAAGCCTGATTAAGACTCACTCTCTCTCCCTCTCTCCCCTCTCCCACAGAAACATGTGCATGCTCATGTGCTTGCTCTCTCTCAAAAAAAAATATGGTAGGCTACATGCATCATCATTAAAAAGGGACACAGACATAAGCATTTCAGAAAGAATCCTTTGATTAAATATTTAAGGAGTGGTAATTTTTTTTTACTTTATTTTTTTAATTTATATCCAAGTTACTTAGCAAATAGAGCAACAATGATTTCAGGAGTAGATTCCTTAATGCCCCTTACCCATTTAGCCCATCCCCTCTCCCACAGCCCCTCCGGTAACCCTCTGTTTGTTCTCCATATTTAAGAGTCTCTAATGTTTTGTCCCCCTCCCTGTTTTTATATTATTATTGCTTCCCTTCCGTTGGGTCATCTGATCTGTGTCTTAAAGTCCTCATATGAGTGAAGTCATATGATATTTGTCTTTCTCTAATTTCACTTAGCATAATGCCCTCTAGTTCCATCCACATAGTTGCAAATGGCAAGATTTCACTCTTTTAGATTGCCAAGTAATACTCCATTATGGGTGTGTGTGTGTGTGTGTGTGTGTGTGTGTGTGTGTGTGTGTGTATACACATCTTCTTTATCTATTCACCCATCAATGGACATTTGGGCTCTCTCCATACTCTGGCTATTGTTGATACTGCTGCTATAAACATTGGGGGTGTGTGCCCCTTCAAAACAGCATACCTGTATCCCTTGGATAAATACCTAGTAGTGCAATTGCTGGGTTGTAGGGTAGTTCTAGTTTTAATTTTTTAAGGAACCTCCATACTGTTTTCCAGAGTGGCTGCACCAGTTTGTATTCCCACCAGCAGTGCCAAAGATATCCTCTTTCTTCGCATCCTCACCAACATCTGTTGTTGCCTGAGTTGTTAATGTTAACCATTCTGACAGGTGTGAGGTGGTATTTCATTGTGGTTTTGATTTGTATTTCCCTGGTGACGACTGATGTGGAGCATGTTTTCATGTGTTCGTTGGCCATCTGGATGTCTTCTTTGGAGAAGTATCTATTTAGGTCTTTTGCCCATTTCTTCATTGGTTATTTGTTTTTTGGCTGTTGAGTCTGATAAGTTCTTTATAGATTTTGGATACTAACCCTTTATCTGATAGGTCATGTGCAAATGTCTTCTCCCATTCCGTTGGTTGCCTTTTAGTTTTGCTGATTGTTTCCTTCACTGTGCAGAAGCTTTTTATTTTGATGAGGTCTCAATAGTTCATTTTTGCTTTTGTTTCCCTTGCCTCTGGAGACGTGTTGAGTAAGAAGTTGCTGCGGCCAAGATCAAAGAGGTTTTTGCCTGCTTTCTCCTCAAGGACTTTGATGGCTTCCTGTCTTACATTTAGGTCTTTTTTCCATTTTGAGTTAATTTTTGTGTATGGTAAAAGGAAGTGGTCCAGGTTCATTTTTCTGCAGGTTGTTGTCCAGTTTTCCCAGCACCACTTGCTGAAGAGACTGTCTTTATTCCATTGGATATTCTTTCCTGCTTTGTTAAAGATTAGTTGGCCATACATTTGTGGGTCCATTTCTGGGTTCTCTATTCTGCTCCATTGATCTGAGTGTCCATTTTTTGTGCCAGGAGTGGTAATTTTTTTTTTTAAGTGGAAAAGACTTCTTGTGCTATTTCGGAGAAAATTTAAGAACTCAACGGTGTAGCATAAGTACAGATAATGGAATGATATCCAAAAGATAGGATTAAGTGATCAAAATAAGATATAGAATGTGTTGTGTTCTATGCTATTATTTGTTTAAAAAACTGCCTATGTGAACACTCTGCATGGATATTGGGACTAATGTACAAATACATCAAGGGAGGAAAACTAGGAGGGTGGGGGGTTAGGAATATAAGAGGCTTTTACTATATGCTATTTTGTACTGTTTCCATTTTTTAAAAATATATACACATCTATTACCTAAAAATATTATAACAGTATAAAACATAAAGCAAATATTAAAGATTGCTTTGAAGGTCTATTTTTTTTCCCAGGAAGAAACCTTTTGGAAAAGCATTTTTAAACTACTCAAATTACACTGACCCCAGTTAAGATGTGGTATGTCAATTACAGGGAAATTTAACTGAGGGTCAAAATATCTTTTCTGAAACTGTCAAAAAGCAAAATTCCTTTTACTGTCAGATGACATTAATAGCTGAGCAACAATGATAAAAACATTATCTTTTAAAACACAAGTTCACAAATTCTAATTCATCCCACATATTACAGCCAGATTGTTTCCAAAACATCATTTTAATTCACTACCTTGTTCAAAACCCCCTCAATAACTCTCAATGCTTACAGGAAAGAATCTTCCAGCCTACATTTCCAGTATTATCTTTTAATACTTTCCTCTACAGGGTCAAACATTTATTCAGACATGTCATTCCCCAAAATAGGTCTTGGCTTTTCTTCCATTTGGGCCTTTGTTTAAATTGTTTGTTTCTATTTCACCTCCTTCACCAACTGTTATTTTACTAATATTCCAAGTCTCATTTCTATTATTTATTCCACAAAACCTTCCTTGATTATCTAAATGAAGGGTTCCATCCTTTCTCTGAACACCTACCGCTCATTAGCTCTTACTAGTACCTTATTAAACTGTAATTGTTGTTGTGTTTGGTCCTACCTTCCCTACTTCATAGATTTTAAGTTCATAGAGGGCAAAGACTATGACACCTACCATAGCACTATATCTTGCATTATACAACCAGAGAGAAGACTTAATATGTAAATATGTTTGGAAGAAGTTAAAAAAACAAAGTAACAATTTAATTCATATTAAAGTGTAAATAACTGATAATAAAGCTTTTCCTATTTTGATAAAAGTACAAACGCAGACTAAAAGGGGGAGAAGTAAGGAAGGTAAGAACATAGTAACTTTCACTTTTATAATTTTTCCAAAATTTGTTCTACTAATCTATAGTGATGGATATATAAACCTGAACGATACACTCTGGTATGAGTGTGTTTCTTAAATGAACAAAACTTAGGAACAGAAAAAACTCTTGAGTTCTGAAATCGTTTCTGAAAAACGGAGAAAATCTTTACAGATCAAATTTTCTCTTTGAAAATTATGACCTTTCATATTTCCTCTTTTGCCTTAGTTGTCAAGATGTGTCAAGAACTTAACTGCAATAACCATACTCACAGGTTTGAGGTAGTCTTCCTACTTTCTATCTTTAGATTTCATGTGTTTTTAGTTAACTCATTTTTGGAAGAAGGCTGGTTGTCAATTGTTATTATTATAGTAAACTCTCTTAATTTGCAGATATAAATTCACCAGCATTCTCAACTCAGTTAGTGGTATCACATTTCAATTAAACCCAGTCTCTATTTGGTCAAATATACTGGAAAATCAGGGCAATAAGTATCACAACATTTTACACTGCTTTAAAAAATGATCAATGGGGGGGGGGGGGGAGTCTGGATGGCTCAGTCTGTTAGGCATCTGACTCTTGATTTTGGCTCAAGAGATTGAGCCTCGTGTCAGGCTCCATGCTGTTAGCATGGAGCCTGCTTAGGATTCTCTCTCTGTCCCTCCACCAGCTTGCGTGTGTACACATGCGTGCTCTCTCTCTCTCTCTCTCTCAAAATAAACATTAAAAAAAATTCAATAGGTTTATTCATTCATTTATTCATCTATCAAACAAATGCTTTTTGAAGGTCTAATATGTACATGACTTTGTTCTGGTCTTTGGAAATAATCTGGTATATAAAACAAAGTCTATGCACTCACAGACCTAAACATTCAAATGAGGGCCAACAGATAAAGTAATAAATATTTATTCAACAGAACAACAGGTAGCAACAAATGATATGAAGAAAAAAGACCAGACCAGAAAATGAGAGAGTGACATGGTGGTCACGAAAAGCCTAAGATATCCAAGTGGAAATGTTGCATGAGCATTTGTATATGTGTAGCTGGACTTCAGGGAATAGTTTCAGGATACATATCGATTTGAGAACCATCAACATATAAATGGTACTATAAACCACTAGACCAAAAGAAATCACCTAAAAGGAAAATATATATAGAAAAGATGTCCTAGGGACAAATACATGTTACTTTGATGAAATAAATGGCATCTACAAAACCAAGTAAATATGTAACTGTATGAAGTGATTTGGATGCTTAATGAGTTGCACATATTCTAGCCTCCAATAGAACAGTGAAAGGAACTCACACTTAGTGAAAGTAGCACCATGATATTCTGACACCCTAGATATATAACGTAACTACTATAGTTTCCTCTTATCTTCCTCTGTAATAAATAATATACTACATCTCAGAATTACAGAACGTTTGTCAATTTTATTTCCATGTCAATTTGAATCTTATCCCTAAATCTTATAAAGTGGAAATTTATCATATTTACACAAGAAAATTCAATTAACTCTCTTTCAGGTAGAAGGAATCATCTATTTAACTGGGCCCCTGGCAAGATTTTTTGAGAACTGATAGCTATACAGACATGACATTTCTATGAATTTCTTTTATTTCTTACTCAGCATGTGTATCTAGTAATAATCTGACTTTTCTATACCTACATTTTAATATCAATTCAAGATTTGGTTGAAGCTATTTCCCCTATGGTATTACTTTATATAAAAATCAACATCACCAGAGAAAGTTGTAGAAAGTAAGAAAAGACCATACAATTCTTATTCAAAATGGTAATGTCAGAAGTATGTGTTCCACTCCCTATAAATATATCCCTTTTGAATTATATTTCCTTTAAATATTGTAAAACCTACAAAGATGATCATAATAATGTACTTAATATATAAATTAGTTTGTAGATCTAAAATGCTTGTTTTTGGATGCTTCCTAGGAGTGTCAAGAGAACAACATATTTTAACTATATTCTGTGAGTCCCTAGGTACGTGAAATATAATAGAGTGACTTAACTCAGTTTAATTTTACCATATGCAGTATCAAACAAATTTGCTGATTTCTTATGGAAATTACTTTCACAACAATAAATGTTAGTGTGAAGTGTAAATATTTAGCAACTTCTAAATGACCTGGGGAGAAAACAATAGAAAGTATTTTCATACCTGCTTTATGGCGGTTACTGTTATCACAAAGAATAATGGAAGTCCACTGGTAATTGGACTGGTAGGTGTATCAATCATAAGCTAGATTTACAACAACAAAAAGAACCGAGTATTATATTTTTATATTGTACACGTCACACTATTAACATCTAAAATCTCGTATTTATTGGGAATTCTGAGAACACTATATAAAGTGTATATGATTGTCCAGAGTAAAAAATAATCATGCATGTAGTTTAGTTCACAGTTTCACCAAGTTCATTTTGTTGGCCATTATATGAAGTGAGTAGAATATCTAAATCTATTGCATATCCACAAATATTGCTAGAGTGAACTCAGTCACTTCACCTTTTTAACACAGAGTACATAAGGTCTTCCTCCTCAGTATTTGTTAGAAGCAGACCTACAGCTGCTCAGAATCTCATTTTACATTTCTTTGCCCATCCTGGTAAATGCTGAAAAGTCTGTCAGCAATTTTAACCCTAGAATTCGGAATAATTTCATCACTTAAGAAAAGAGAATAAGGAATAGGGCTAGGAAAAGGATTTTTTTTTTCTACAGGGATTTTGTTACATCTACAGAGCCAGAGGGGTACAGCTTAGAAAACGACGCTGTAATTATGATATAAATCATACAACTGAGGTTTCAACAAATTGGGGAAGTAATTTTTGCAGTAATTATGTTTGGTTAGTTAAAACATGGACCCAATGGTTTATTAATGTTCCTTTACCCTGGATAGGCCAATTAAATTTGTTTTATTCCACAGACCAGCTGAATTCCTGACCTTAGCTAGTAATTTCACAAATGCATGTGATGTGGACATGGTTAGTATAAATTTCTCACTTTTCCAAGAAAACCAAGCTGATGTTCTATTGATAAAAACTCAGAAGTTTCTTCTCTGTTCAGGAAAGAAAGCAATTTCTTTAAAATACAAGTGTTTCTTCAAGCTTTAAAGTGACTACTTAACAAGTTTTTTTTTTCACTGGAATTCCAGGTTCTATGAGAGTAAAGTTCAGAGTTTATACAAAAACCCAATGCCACACTGAAAGATACTGCTCGTGTATTATCAGAAGAAAATAACCCCTTTAAAAGAAAATGGCAATTGCTATTTTTAAATCTTGACTTATACTCAAGTTTTATAAGCTATTCTCTTGATACTTTGATATTAGAGAAAAAAAAGCACAATGTGAAAATTAAGAAACTATCAGAGTTTATCATGAATAGACTTAAGAAAATGGTTCCCATAATAAAAATCTATATTCATGGGGATTCTTAAAATTAGAAAACATTTTTAAATAAAAGTAAAATTTAAATTCAAAACAAAGGAAAAGTCAAAGATTTACTTGGACAAAGATCATTCCGTAGGCAGAAATGTGCCAAAAACATGTGCTATATAAGTCAAAATATTTATGTTCTGATGCAGAGCAAGTGAAATGTAAAATTGGCTTTGATTATAATTATCAGCACCATAGCACATCAGTAATGAAACAATATAAAATTAATCTTAAAATTCACAAGCTATTTTTTAGAAATCTGCATGTGGTTTAAATAACTACATTCACTGGGGCGCCTGGGTGGCGCAGTCGGTTAAGCGTCCGACTTCAGCCAGGTCACGATCTCGCGGTCCGTGAGTTCGAGCCCCGCATCGGGCTCTGGGCTGATGGCTCAGAGCCTGGAGCCTGTTTCCGATTCTGTGTCTCCCTCTCTCTCTGGCCCTCCCCCGTTCATGCTCTGTCTCTCTCTGTCCCCAAAATAAATAAACGTTGAAAAAAAAAAATTTAAATAACTACATTCACTGATTACAATGGGGAAGCTATGCAGGAAAAAAATGATCCCATAGTCAAATGATTTAGAATGCAATATAACTTTTCCCTAAAGATAGAAGTCATTATATAAACTTAATCCATTGAGTGATAAAGCTTACCTGAACCAAAAATATAATAAGAAAATAAAAGTTTGCCACTCTTCTGAATTGTTCAAATAAATTTTTTGGAACAAAATTCCACACAGTATACTAAAAAAACAGAGAGAGAAGGATAAATTAACATTTAAAATAATATATACGATATCAATGTAATAATAAGGAAAGTAAAATAAGATTTATGAAGTCCTTAGACAAATTTATGTAACTCTTGATGCTATAAAAACTATCTCGTTTTTAAGAGTTTCAGAACTTTTATTCTATTCTTTTTTTTCTTATACTATTTATTGGCAATTTTAGTGTAATTTAAAAAGATGAGATAAATTGGAATCTACCAATTTTGCTATTAAATTCTTGATTTTTTAGAAGTTGGAGAAGGTAAATCTAAAACAACATTTAATAATTTATTTTGCTCTTTGGTTACACAAAACTAAGTGTAAAAATAAACAAGGGCTGATAAAAATGCTGATTCCAGATACAATTTATTTTCCATTTTATTTAGCTCAGTATCAGAAGCAAAGGAAATGGTATAACTATTTTATTATTCTTTGTTAAGTACAAAATATGGAAAAATAACCAAGAATGTGAAAAAGATTAAAAAACACTTTACATAAGTGGTGGTATAACCACCAAGACAATCTCATAAAGGACACGAAAATCTGTCACAATGTCAATTTTTAAAGTAAGACTGTCACTAAATGACCTTGGACTAATCTCTCTGCACCCTACTTTGTGCCTCTATAAAATGAAGACGATAATAGCCCTATTTTATAGGGTTGTTATAAGGCTTAAATAAGCTAATATATTTATGATGCACTTAGGACAGAAACTGGCTCATACTAATTGCCATGTGTCTGTTATATTATTAATCAGCATATAAGCCTATAATGCTATATTATAAGGGTAATAATATGCCAAACATTATAGCACTGTTACTTCACCCTATATACTCTCTCAGTAGAATGTAAGATCCCTGAGGCTAGGGACATTGTTTTATTTACTGCTCAATCTCCAGCACTTACCACTACTACTCAGCACATAGGTGGAGATCAAAACTTTAGAAGAATAGATGAATAAATAAAGAAATACATACATACATACATACATTAGGTAGAAATGAATTTTTTTCACATGATTATTCGGATGTCAGGCAAATGAAGCCGTAGTGGTTACTGATCCTATTCAAAATTTCTAAAGAGGCAGTTTACTTAATTTTCTCTGGTGCAATGTAAGATGGTTCTAATTTCTGAATATTCTTACTTCAAAAATTCACTTCTTAATCAGCTGAGATCTGAAATGTCCTTCCCCACATAAACAATTAGGGTTAAGTTCCCAGGAAAGCCCACAACAGTCTCTATGACCCAAGGATATATAAATAGTACAATACCTAACAACATTTCTTTCAGGTCAAATTATAATTTCAGTTCTAATCTGATACCTGAAACACATTTTCTTGTGGTAGTGGTAGCACTAGTGGCTCCAGAATCTGGGACTGGGGACTATGTTCAGGGCTCTGGAGAGAAGAGAGGTAGATGCTTTCCAGTCACTGCTCAATGTGTATCTCTGAGATGGTAACTTTGGGTCATATCATCCTCAGGTGATCTTAACTGGAGTCCCTTAGTTACCAAATCAAATGTGTAAAACTTTTTAAGAATCAGGTTGGCAATGTCCTAACTTCACATCAATCTTTTAAAATCATAACAGAATGTATTTTTGTCTTCCAAAATCTTGAAAAGAACAATTACATAAATTGGCAAACTGGTTTCAGGATATTTTCTTTGGCTAGTTCAATAATACATGGAAAAACTCAGAATAAATAAAAATTTCTTATGAAAACCAGCTTACAAATATTAGGAATTGTTTTTTCCAGGTTTTCTAAAATACAAAATACATTAATAGACTGAACAAGTCTATAGTCTGTGCTTATGCTATCATATGTAGAAGAGAAACTATAGGATAAATGTTAAATAATATAAAAATATTTTAAGAAAAATAATAATTATGCTTTAAAGTTATTTTATTATTATGTAATAATGGTCAATAAAATTAAATTAGAAGTATAACTTCTTTTTTAGCTATGTATATGACTATACAACTGATCTTTTTTTTTCAAGTTCTGATATTAGTAAGAAAACCAAAACATAATTATGAAACTACATCTTTCGTAAAGTTTAAATAAGGTTTAATTTACTATGGTAAATTAAACAAAGACGTATCAGGCACCTACAATGTATAAGACTCTTGTGCTGTAAGAGGAACAAAGAAGCTTTCATATTAGAAGGAATTCAGAATAAATATCAATAGCTATATTGAAAGGTAAAGTAAATGAAGGAATATACAAAGAATTAAAATGAAAAGCAGTCAGTGAGAGAAAAATTTAATGAGGAAGGTCATATTCAACATGGGCTTTAATAGGGCAACATTCAACAGGCTGAAAATAGGGGGCAAAGAGAGGGAGACCATTTCAGGAAAAAAGGACAGCATGAACACAGGCAGAGAAGAGCAAAGTTCATCATGACTTTGTGGGACAGAAAATAATACAGTCCAGAAGAGTTTAAGGGAATAAAAAGGGAGCAGAAAGGTAGTACAAAGGGAATTTTTTTAAAAGCCTCATTTATGGTCAAGAAAAAAATGGACATTGTATATAAATACCCACATTCCTGAATCTGTGGTCAAGAACATGAATTTTCTATTTCCATAAAAACATGAAATTTATAACCTCTGCAAAAAATATAATCTATATCTAAAAAGAAGTGGTTAATCACATGAAATCACAGCAAAGGCACAGTAGTAGGGAAGTTCAACATGGGTTTATGGAATAGCAGGTAATCTGGTTTGGAAGGGATGTGAGAAATTACTAGTAGAATAAATAAGGGAATAATGAGAGAGACAGTCCTTATATGCTTTTAAAAAAGCAATGTTTCTTTAAATATCTATATTTTTAAAACTGTGGTCAAAAACATGAACCATAATACTGCTGCATGTGAATACGATCATATAAAGATATTTAATCTCTCAAATTTTCCAGGACACTCAGCTTTCAATACTGACAGAGGACTAAAGTGGTCCTGTTACTCACAGCAGATGAGATTACAAAAACTAGATTTTAAAATGGATCCTGGAAAGTATCCAAAATTTAGATAGAAACTAGAAGAGAGTTTAATTTTTAAAAAGTGCAAATGAAAGGAATATGAATATGAATTGTAAACTATGGCTTCTTAACCTGGAGACACTATCCAACTCTCACAGCTATGGCAGCAAACAGTAGGGAGAAAAATTATACCCTTATCACAAAATATGACAGATTTGGATTCAGGGCTGGAAAACTAGATGGAAATTTAAGGGGAAGAAAATACTGGTAGTGAAAGAACCAGGCAAGGAAAATGACCCAAATTCAGAATGTAAACTATCCAAACCCAGGATGATAGCTAAACTCTACACCAAAAAGGAGTGAACTACTGATATATGCAACAACAAAGATCAATCTCAAGATTACTGTTACATGAAATGAAGTCAGACAGAGAAGACTCATACTACATGACTATATTTATGTGATATTCTAGAAAAGGTGAAACTATAGTTATAGAAAACAGATCAGTGGTTGCTAGTGCTAGAGATGAGGAGGAGGGGGACTGGCTGCTAACTTTTTACTTCTGGATATACTCTTCATCTTGGTTGTGGTGGTCCCATGATGCTATACATTTGTCAAAACTCATCAAATTGCACACTTAAAATTGGTGAAATTTTACTATATATAAATTATACACAAAGTTAAAAAAAAACTTAAAATTTTCAAGGACTTTTATTTCTTGCATGATTTACTAAGAACTGTGTCATTAATCTAAAGCTCTTCTATTACCCTAGATTCTAACATTTTCCCTTCCTGCCCCCTGCTTTAGAACCACTGTCCAAAATGACAGATCTCACTAATGGGTATGTTGCATCTGTAAATAATGTGAAGGATGAGAAAAGGGGCAGAACAAAGAAACCACTGACCTAAGACAATACTCTTGGGAAAGAGGAGATCAGGATGACAGAGATACAATTAGTTACTCTGGAAGGCAGAGAAGGAGCAGTACAAAGACGCTTCTTAAAGTGGTCTATCAAACAATAGCAATGATCTAAGGAAAACTTTACTCTTAGTTTGATTCACATCCTAACTGCACTTTCCAATAGGTAACCAGTAGTTGCATATGGCTCCTGACACTCAATCGAAAATAAATTAAGATTTAATTAAAAATTATGTTTTTCAGTGGCATTAGCCATATTATAAGGCCTAACTAGCCCTAAACAGCTACTGGTTATCATAGTAGCACAGAAAACGTTTCCTTCATCATGAGAAAAGTTTACTGGGGCAGCATTAACCTGTAATCTTCAGTTTCAAAATAAACAAAGACATCTTAAAAATGTTATAGAAAAAAATGAAACAAGGAAGAGTATGTGAGTGAAGCAGTACCTTGGTACTATATATGTAAATTTCTTGTTTACAGAAGAGTGATAAAATTAGAGGAAGTCAGGCTTTAAAGTCACACAGAACTGAGTTCAAACTCCAATCTTGTCATTTAGTGTGCAACCCTGGGTAAATTATTTCCCAACACTTTAATTAAAGACACAAATATAAAATGAGTATAACACTTTGTAAAAGCGATCTCAGAGTTGCTGTATGAATTAAATGATATGAGATGTACCTAACATAGTACCTGGCACACCGTATAAATATTTAGTTCCTCAGTTTAATTGCAACTAGGGATAATTTTTGGCATGTTAATATTAGCAACTGGCAACTCCTTTCATTTTACAGTTCACAATTTTGGGTAAGATATATTTACCAAACACCATTTCCTTGAATTTTTAAGGATATAAATGTATACTGGAATAAATAAATTACTTTTCAAAACAAAATGGAACATATCTATAGTTTCAATAAGTGTTAATCCTTACCTTAGATGAAATGATCCGGTTATCTATAAATTTCTGAGGTGTGTAAAGGCCATTCTGAGGAAACCTGTTGGCTATGTAAATAGTTCTTGTGTCACTTTGATGTGGTGGGTCAAAACCCTAAGACCAAGCAAAAGAAAAATAATGACTAAGAAGGTTAGTTGTTATGATTCTTTATTGCTGGTTTTATTTAACTGACCAGACTGCACATATTATTACTGGCCTTGAACTGCATATAGGCTCAATCTAATTACTAGCAGAGTTAAGGCATATATATTTTTCTTTCCCAGGTAAACTAACATATTATCTTCAAATAAACACTTAGGTAATACCTCTGGTAATGAAAAATAATCCATACTGTTAGAAATGCTACTGTAAGGGGGAAAAATCATGTAGAAGATCTACAGAAGCATTTGAGGACAGTATTTCTTTCCTTCCCTTTCATTCCTAGGGGTTCCTTGCCTTTCTCTTAAGATGGATTCCTACTCAGTGATGTGGAAATTCTGTGTACCTATAGCCTAATCAGCACCTACTACATCTGATGACAGAGGTTTATATTTTACTTCTTCCACACCCAGATCAACTTGGTTTCAAAGAACTTTGATCCCACGAGACTCACAATGCACTGGGTAGGGTCCTGCCCAGATTCACTCCACATAATCATCTCTTTGTGGTAGTCATATTATCAATCGAATCCCTGAAATGTGGAGATGTAATTCTGGCCTCAAATTTAGGAAACCATTTCTCAAGGTACATTTATCAATGATCTCCAATGTAAAAGTTTTCACTGGGACAAGAATGCTGATACTTTATTCCCACAGTATTTTACTATTTTCCTAGGTGGCAAGTGAGTCTTCAATACTCTTTTGGCAGATCTTGGCGATCCTATGACAGGATGAAAGCAACCAACAAAAGCAAGACCTTTGTTTGTGGCTCTACTATTGCTACTAAGTTATGAAAAAGTTAACTAAAGCTGGTATTTGTAATTACAATGATCTACTTGTAGCCATTAAGGACTCTAATTTAGTAATCTACTAAGTAAGTAACGTGGCTGCCATTTGATGCTTGGCATCCTTGTAAAATTTCCATTAAGTACATACATACACAGATAGTGGAAATTCCCATATTACCTAGAGGTATATTTTGTTTAGCACATCAGAATATTAACAGTGCTATGTATAGATTTCAACTGCTGTCATTCTTGGTTTAAAAATTTTTATTCTGTGATCTTAGAAACAGCTACTACAAGACTGTGAAAATTAAATGCATTTGTATGCTCCATAAAAAAACCATGAAGTTTCATTTTATTTGCTTATGCTATTTATAGTGATGACCACATTTTGTGGATGTGAATGTGCCATTATGTGTCTGATTTCAAAATCAGTTTCTTCAAGGATAAAATATGGCATGCATATTTATCTTCTTCCTAAATTTTCCTTTAAACATTTCACAATTATTCCCTATAATAACTTATGGAGGGGGGGAAAGGCAGGCCTCATAATCAGAGTTGGAACTTACTGCTCTATCTAGAATACTGCAATCACCTTAAAGATATGTGCTATTTATTCATTCAACAAATATGTATTGAGGTTAAGTACTATGCTAACCTATGTAGGATTATGTGATTTGTTAATTACTCAAGCAAATCATAATATGCCCTAACTCAACAAATAAATGAATAAAGAGTTTGCATGCTACTGCTATAGTCCATGCATGTATTTCTCAAAGGGGGTTCACAGGAAGTTTGCCAATAAAGTTCATAAAGTTATATAAGAGGAACACACTGGTAACTGAAACATTAGACTACATGAAGCATATTTATTCCACATCCACTTTGAAACCATGTAAAAATAACAGTAAATTACATACCATGTATATAAGCTTCTGGAATAAATTAAAGAAAAAAGAAAGTACATTTGTGGGTCTGAAAGAATATATATATCTTTAGGAAGATGTCAAGACAACTGAGACTAAGAACCACTGATACAGAATTTTATTTTTTTACTAAATTCCACCAAGACTGGAATTTATTACTAAGTACATCTAAAGTTAAGAAACAAAGTGCAAAACAAAGACTCCCCTACAATATGTATGTTATTTATATATGTTACTATTGCAACATCTCATTCATGACTTCCCAGGAGGCAAACATCCTTCTCCATTCATCTCTACTAACTGTACCAGTAATCACATACTAAAGTTTGAAACTCCTTAGATTCCTACAATTATTTCAAGGGGATATATTGAAATGTTCCAAAAATAAAACCAATTTTAAACTGAATTTTAAGTGCAAAATCAGTATATTCCAAAATATAGTAATTTAACATTAGATAATTCCAAAAGGAGATTGAGGAGTTTTTCCTTAATTCCCAAAGATGCTACAAAATCCACCTACGTATTTTGAGTTTTTTTCAGTTGTAATTAATTCACATGATCTCATTCAATCATTTATAATCAATGGCATGTATATATGCGTGGATGTTATTTTTTCCACAAAAACGGTTAAATTTTATATTTGTGACTGCAGTATAAGTACACCTAGCTGTCCCTTATCGAAATCAAACCTCTAACTTCAGTTCATTAGCATCGCCTTCTCTGCAACAAATTAAGCCAGCCACAACTAAATAAAAGAATAACACTGTCCAAAAATAAAGAAAGTGACTTAGGGCAGGATCCATAAATGGACTTCAGGTCTGTGAATCTCTGAAACTGTATGCAGATTCACTTAACATGTGTATTTTTCCAATGAGAGTGAGCATAGGTTTCATCGGTTTCTCATGATGTAAAGAAGCTTAAAACCACTTATCTAAAGTCTTGCTTTTGTAATCAGTTCTCCATCTCAACATTGCAGATTTTAAAAACAACACAAGAGAATCTTTATGTTTCAATAACACCTCTACTCTTTAACAGGAGCCAAAACAAACATGTGACCAAAATTAAGTGTTTAACTATACTGTTAGTGTGAAGTTCAAGTACAGTTTCACACTTTTCTAGCAAGCATTAATAGCAAGTCATGGCACTAAGAAAGAAATACAGTCTGAACTTCCTAATCACTTGGTCAAGGCTACATGCCAAGGTTGGCACACATCACATTTTCTGCTGTCATCTCAAACTACCCATTCACACCTTCAACCCCTTGATGCTAGCCTGCTCCTTTTTCCTCTGATTCACCTTGCCCTAGGGAAAGGAATTTAGATAGATTAATACTATTCTAGCCACCCTAATTTTATTTTAATTCCTGCTAAAAAGTAGGATACAAACTTTGGAAATACACAACTGTAAATAATTTAAAAATAAAAAACTCTCATATTCTATAAAAGTATGAAAATCAAAACCTCTTTTCAGTCTGATTTGTGAGCATACGTTAAATTCATAGGTATTTAAAAAGAAAAAGCAGGTAAGGTAGAAAAAATCTCATGACGGCATCTTGGGAACAAACTGACAACACATAGGAATGGTTTTAAAAGAGATTCCTTTTGTAACCAAAAACTGATGAGATCTAGGGAAATCAAACCACTAAATAGCTTTATAATTTTTAGAAGTTGGTCTCTGGCACACAGCAGTACTTGGAAACGAATCACTACGTTTTACATTTTCATACCAAATATACCAGCCTCTCCGTAATCTTAAAATCCCAAAGATTTTAGGAAAATTACAAATATTACAAATAAAACGCTAACAATGGCTAAAACTGTTACACTTCTTTACAATAACTAAGAAAATATCATCTTTAGAGTTCACAGTGATCAAAGTAAATCTGTGCTTCTTATTCTTATATGTGATCTATTCCCTCTAAAATATAAAGAAAAAGCTTCAAGACAAACCATACACCAAAAAACCCATCCAAACTCAAAAAAACCCAAAAAGCTGCAGAGTCAACACTGCAATACCACTGTTATTAAAATAAATGAACAAAAGCTTTAATCACATGCTTTATATGACAGAAAGTAATTTTTGTTGGCTGTATGCTCCAATGTACACAGGCACATGAAAACGGCCTAGTAAAAATATGATGATTCTGGGGAAGAATGATTTAGTGTATTTTACCAAATCTATAAACTTAATTGTGAATTATTATTTCCTGGACATAGACTTTAAATAAAATATACCTATATGAAGGTACTGTAAGGACAAGATAATTTTACACTGTTAACAAAGGAAGGTGATAGAGAATAACTTAAAATACTTGTGATGTAAACAAACACAATAATGAAACATTTTTGTTTCCTGTTACATAATTTTCATTTTAGGACTTAAGGTTGTTCTCCATCTATCAAACCAGTCTGGGCTTCCAGGAAGTTGGTTTAAATGCAGGGGTAGGTTAGGACTGACTAACTACAGGATATAAAATTTAGAGTGACCTTTGACTCCAAAATTCTTAAATCATCTGTCAATGCTTTATTACAGGAAGCTCATCTTTGATAGATTATATTACTTCCCAAACTTGATTTTACTGTGCCAACATTTACCTCCAGCAAAAGCCTCTTCATCCTTCAAGTTTCAGCTTAAGAGGTTCCTTCTCAATGGAGCTTTCCCTGACACTTCTTTTTCCCCAGAAACAAAGGAAGGCATTTGTTATTATGCCCAACAAACCTTTTATATACTCTCATTATAGATTTTATTACACAGATTAGTAATTACTTGTCTGTATATCCAGGTCCCCCTCCAGACTGTAGGATTTTTTTTTAAGTTTATTTATTTATTTTGAGAGAAAGATTGTGCAAGCAGGGGAGAGGGAGAGAGAGAATCCCAAGCAGGCTCTGCACTGTCAGCATGGAGCCCGATGTGGGGCTTAAACTCAGGAACCAGTGAGATCATGACCTGAGCCAAAATCAAAAGTCCGATGCTTAATTAACTGAGCCACCCAGGTGTCCCCAGACTACAAGATCCTTAAAGATAGTATGTGCTAATTATTTAATGAATAATTACTGAAATTAATGAATAATTTACTGGATACAATAAATTCTGTAGTTTTGAGGTTCTAAGTTTAGTTTTCAAATATTTTTAACAATAACTTTTCTACCAAATTGAGTTTAAATTCAATGATATTTAAAAGAAAAAGGAAAAACTTTAAAAGTGATCCTGTAGAGTGAAACCCATCATTACTAATGAAAGAGAGG